GCAGGGCTTGTCCATCCGGACCGTCCAGACCCACACTTGCCCCTTCTGGTCACTTGCTTCATGGGCCTGTGAGTCCCCTTGAAAGGCAGCCCCTTGCCCCAGCCCTTCCTGCAGCCGCCCTGTCCTGCTGCCTCCTGAGCACTAAAGGAGGTGCTCAGGGACACTTTCTCTCTGGAGAAGATGACAGAGAGGGCTGGTCGCCACTGCTCACGTGCTTTCTCCCTCTCCCATCAACATACGATTTCGTGCTGGGCTCGTGCTGCCCAGAGCACCCCTTACAGACCCTGTCCTGGCTGGCGTGTGACAGCGTGCTGGCCAGCGGGTGCAGAAGGAGCACACCATGGCGACTTCCAGAGCCCTTTTAAGGGGCAGCTGGTGCACGCCCTGGCTCTTCATTTGCTTTGCCCTTTCCTCCATCTCTTTACGCCTGGACCTTAAATCTTGGGCCATGAAGATACACTTCAAATGGCAGAGCTGGGAGCTGGCAGGAGCCTGGTTCCCCGAGGACCTCACGGAGCGGAGCTACCACACCAGGCTTCATCTGCGTGCCAGAGAACGACACCTCCGACGTGCATGTGACTTGTCGTCTCATGGCCTGCTGCCGAATCTAACAGCGGTTGGCACTGAGTTTGCCTAGAGTGGATTCTGTGTATGAAAAAACTTTGCGGTCCCATCTGCAATGGCCTGGGGCACGAAGCAGGGAGTAGTGAGAAGCAGGTCACAGCTTCCTGATTTGCTTCCCAAATCTTCCCCAGCTTACGTAAGGTTGGGCAGAGCATTTACGGTTTTGTGGGCAATGCAGATATAAACTTCTGCATTTCTCTGGCGCACACGAAGGTGGCAAGTCTGAACCGCTAAATCTGTTGAAAGTATTCTTGCCACAGAAAAGGGTTCCACAAATATTTCATGTTACAACCACCGAAAGGGACGAGAGCTGAGAGTATCCACCCTCTGACGTTCACAGGCTCTCTCCCATCTCTGGTAAACTCCAGCAGCGACTGCAGACACTGGGGATCCCCCACGGTAGCTTCTCCAAACTCCTCAATGTCCTGAGCCTTCAGGTGCCTGCTGTCTTTTAGATCTGCATTTCCCCATTTCTGCCTGGCCACCTGTCTCAGCCTCAGCTGGCAGGGAGTTTGTGGTCTCGGATGGGTGAACCTCCTCTTTTCAAACTGCATTAAAGGGTGGACCCCCCTGGACCACCCAGGGCTCCCACCACACCACATCCTCCCCCAGAATAGGATCCACGGTGAAGGTGCCCTTTCAGCCCTGCCGGGCTTGCCTGTGTCCTCCCCTTCAGAAAATTCTCTGGCCCCTGTTAGCAATCTGTGTCCTCGGCCACATGCCACATGTGTTCCCTGGGAGACTCATTCCAAACCAGCACATTTTCTGAGGTTGGACACAGGTGGGACAGTCATGGGTAACTGAAAAAGGGGGAGATAAGTCTTCACATGAGTGAGCAGAAAACGCTGTCAGAACCAACCCTCAGTGGACCGTCCAGCTCTGCTTTCGAACTTTTTATCATGAGCTTAAAAAATAATTTTGGTTCTAAAGTGGACAATTTGCAGAGCAACTAACTTGACACTTACGACTCAAGCACTGCGGCTTGGTAATATATCTAAGATGTTTAAATTTATCGTCACCATCATTACAAGAGACTTGTGCTGCTGTAAAGGGGAAGCGTCAGACCTAGATAAGAAACACACTGCCTGCCAGTGCCCAGGCTCAGAAGGTGACTCAGGACACAGACTCTGAGCTAAAACAAAGCCCTCTCGGACTTTTCACAAAAGCTCTGGCTCCCAAACCCAGCTGGATCTCCAATCAGCAGCTGAGGAGGAGCTTCAGAATCTGGTTTTCTGCAAAGCTCTTTGGGAGCTTCTCATGGCAGCCCGGGAAGCAGTGTGATACCTGGACGTAGTACCGGACGAGGACCCTGCGGAGGTCAAACACCTGCAGCATGGTGGCCGCGTTGTTGTCTAGGATGCTATAGCCCTCCAGGATGTACTGTGTCCGCGTGATCTCCCAGGTGAGCCAGCGCAGGTGGAAGGCGGCGTTGCAGGACAGCAGGTGGGGCAGGTGGCCCGCCTGGCAGCAGCAGCAGCCCCTGTCGTCCTCGTTGCCCTCCAGGATGGCCTCCACCTCTCTCTGCTGGCAGTAGGTTCCTGGCCGAGCACAAACACAATGGCAGTTAGAGGAGAAGGCGGACTGTAACACTTCACAGTAGAAAAGGTCCCCCCTTGCCTTCGTCAAAGGGGAGCATATGGAACAGAGTCTAGGAGTTGGGAGATCTGCTTAATTTTTACTGCAAACAGCCACCCAGATATGTCACAAACATCATCATCACTAACTTATTCATTCACGCTCGTTCTGAATCTCACCTCCTCCTGGGTTTTGGATCAGGGGAGGAGAGCTCTCATGGTGGTTGTGGACGCTAATGGCTGAAAC